TTGCCTAAAAAGCAAGTACTGTCCAAACCCAGTCATAGATTTATTCATATTTTAGTCATTTCTGGTTTAAATTGAGATTCCTTCCCTTTATAACTCACTTATCCTCCGCCATTCCCAAGTCAAGGGTCATATATACTGACCCAATAGCATATCTTGAAAACTGGAGCCAATCAACAACTTTAAGCATCATTTTTGTTCTCAGTGACCCAGAATTAGTAAAGTTTGACTACATTTATTTCAGAAGCATTTTGGCTGTAGAGCAGTGTAACACAAGAAGTAGGGTCACCCAATCAAATTAATAAGCAGCAGGTTTAAAAGAAACATAAGGAAGTACTTCTTCACACAATGGACAGTCTATCTGTGGCTCTCATTGCCAGAGGATTTTCTGATGGCCAAAAGTGTAACTGGGTTCAAAAAAGAATTAGATATGTTCATGGAGAGTAGGTCCATCAACAGCTATTAGCCAAGATGATCAGAGATGTAACCCCCTGTTCTGGGTGTCCCTAAACCTCTGACTGCCAGAAGTTGGGTCTGAGCAACAGGGGATGGATCACTCGATAATTGTCCTGTTTTCATTCACTCTGAAGCATCTGACATTGGGCACTGTTGGAACACAGGATACTGGACTAGATGGACCATTGGTCCAACCCAGTATGGCCATTCTTATGGTTCAGTGGAGAATCTGCATCTATTTATAATTATTAATTTTTTCTGTACACATTATATTTATATATATTATACACACACACACACACACAGAATTGCGAGAGTGTATGACAGACATTGTGTGTGTGCGCACATGTGTGTTCACATGTGCACATGCAAATGCAGACACAACTTTGCACATGAATGCAGGAAAAATTAGGAAACTGAGTAGAGAAAATGGACATAAAAAAAGTTTATACAAATGTATGAAAGGAAGGACTTTCAGAGCAAAGAAAATTCTTCCTGACACTAACCACTTTACCACTGTCATCCATAACTGGGGTATCCAGTCAGAAAGTCTGCTCAGGACAAGAAAAAATAATGGTTCCATGTCCATACACGAACCCGCTAAATTTAAGGTAGGCTTGGTGGGTCCATAGTCTCCTGAATGAGCCAGCTCTTTTTGAATTTTATTGATGCTTCACTTTTTCAGCCAGTAAATGCCACCATTGAGCAAATCAAATCTCACCTTAAGCCTACTAGAAGAGAGTTCAGAGCATCCTAGTGTCTCCCGGATTGGAAAGGGATATTTGAAGTCAAGGAGTCAAGCTCAGGTTTTCCACTTAGTAAAACATAACAGTGTGTAAGTGTAATCCTTCTGCCAGATGGAGCTGGCAGCAACCAGGGCCACGTTAAATATCTAGGGGTTATTTTTCAACACTACAGCACAGAACTGGCTTGAGCCACCACCCAGTAACCTGGGAAAATTACAAACCTGGGTGCCTCTGAGAGGCAATAATTACATCCCTGGGTGCCTCTGAGAGGCAATAATTCCCCACTCACAAGCACAGAGTCTGAGAGTAGAAAAGAAACTTTTAATGAAAGGAGGGAAATGCCAGAAGCAGGATTCATAATCATAAAACTGAGCAGGACACCCACCCCAGAGTGCGTGGGGCAGTGCCTTCCACTTCATGTTCTTGAGTTCTACAACCAAACGTTCATTTTCTGTGCCCCTCTCCACTCACTCACTATACCCCACTCACAGTGATTGTCTTTGCTCAGTGTGGACCCAAGGTTTAGAGGTGCATCTGTGTGAGTTCACCTCCCACCTGGGGAAGAAGGCACCTTGCTTGTTTTGCCATCTGAGCACCTGCTCTGGCTGGCCACCCTGCCAGCCGTGGTTTCTCTCCAGCTGCTCGTTCTGCTCACCGCCCCGCCAGCCTCTCATTCGCTGGCCGACTGTCAGTCACCTTCTGTTGCACCTACCTTTCTGCTGTGACCTCTGCACATCAGTCCCTTAGTGATTTTCAGCTCTTTGCAGGCTGGACAGGGATACTGCACAACCGCAAGTGATTTCAGCTCTCATTTGAGCACTTTAGCATAAGAAGAAGGCTCCTAATAAAGCCTATTTAGCTCTGTCTTTGAACAGTAGGGAGGAACAGATTAAACCAGACCGGATCCCCTAAGGGAGAGTCCCTACCTCCTGGCTGGGACACTCTTATTTTCAGAAGGGTCTGGCATTCGAGCCCATGGCTTAGCAAGTTCCTTTCTGCTGAGGGTGACCCCTCAATTGGGACAAGCTCAGCAAAGTTCTGCTCCCCTTTAGTCATACAATGAAGATAACAAGATTGATACATTTCATTACCCCTGCATTCAATACTAAAGTGATTTGTAACCCAAGAAACCAACCAAAGCTGATCACTTGGAGCTGCACAACTCCTGTCTGCTAGATACCTATGGAGAGTAGGTGTGTTCATGTAAATACAGTTTGCTCCTAAAGTCTCTCCCCCTCCCAAACTAGAGCTGTCAGGGGAGAGTTCATTCAGACCCTGCTTACATAAGTAACAAGATCAAACAATTAAACAGATAAATTAACATATTACTTGTATCGTTTCCAAACTACTGAGTCATTCATATTTTACAGTCTGCAGTTGATACTTAACATCCACCAGCATGAGGCTGAATAGCATGGCTCTCACTGTCTTTTTTCCCCAAACAAAGCTTTCAAATTTCTGTAATATTCACAACTTTTGTCCATGATGTCTTTTATGTATGGCAGTCATCACAGTATCTAGGCATTGCACATACAATGCAATTCACAATCCTCATTGTGCCACTCACTAAAAATCTATTAAGCTAGTGCAAAAACTATCTGTGACAGATGCACTTGTGTCTGTGAGATAAATGCATGAAGGATACAAAATTAATCACACCTCTCACAATGACATTTTTACCTTAGGTGTGGTTATATAGCACTGTCTGTTTAAATAGCAGTTTCCAAAACTGAGTGCGGAACAATCCCGGCCCTAAGTACCTTATAGTACAATACAACTAACTTTGTAATGAGAGATTGGGGAGAGATGGAATCATATTGTGGGGGCACAAAGTCATCCACAAGTCACAGGCAGGGCTCAAAGGAACTTCACAGCCTCTGTTTAGTAGCTAGTCCAGTTTCTGAACTAGAATAATACCCGCAACACCTGCTCATCCATTATATAGGGATTTCTAGGCATAGCATCTGAATAATCTTAGACCCAGTGGCCACCCTCCGAATTTTTACTCTATAGTATGATGCTTAAAACAGAGCAGCTGCCAGTACCTTATTCGCTTTAGTGTTCCTACCACAGCTACCAATAATGGAGCTGAATCAGTGGGAACTAGAATAGGAAATTTTTGGAAAAAAGTCCTAATGCAGACAAGAATTTAATGCACACAAAGCAATAATTTCCATACCTGAGTGTAGAACTATTTAGAAACTGGAGGGAAACTTAGTAGCCACCAGGATCAGCTATCCCATAGGGGGTGCAAAATAGTGAATTCCTTTTTGACCTGTAGCTTAAAGGAACAATCAAATCTGCCTATCAAATAATTCCAATATATTCCAATATGGTGACTGTGTTTCAGTAATGTCTTTGGAGGTCTATTCAATGAAAACAATCTGGAAGTTTTCAATTACACTTTTAAAATTAGTAGCCTTCAAATAATTATAGTAAAAACCCTTTATTTGTCTTGTTAAGGCAGCATCACTTTATCACAGAAAATGCTACCTATTCTTTTTACAGTGTGCATGAAGGTAAGAAAAGAGACAAATTGAATACAGATGGAAGTTGGGGAAAAGGTAGAAGCACCAAATGAAAGACATAAAACAGAAAGTTGAAGCTAAAAGTAAGTGAAATGACATGAAAATCTGAATATATTAACAAATGTATTGCAAATTGTTGGACTAAAAGGGTATTCAGATAGTTTCAACCAGTGTTTTTCAATTTTTCCCCCTTGAATGTTCATCGCCCAACAGGAACAGTACTTTGAAAGTTATAGCCAGCAGAAGACTACAGATCCTATGCTATACTCAGAAAGAAACATGCAACTCCACCATGATGGAAAGCCGCCTGAATAATTCCTTCCTGCTAAAAAGACTCTAGAAATGTGGCGGTGTAAAGAATAAAATAAGGCAGACTAAGTTACTTAACTGTTATTACTCTTTCATCTCAAATCAAGAAAAATGCTTTGTAGGCTTTGCCAATATTTTAACTAATGTTGACTGATATCAGTACTATGATAAACTATACCATCCACAGACAACACAGTATTCTCTCATTTAGGATTTTCAGAACAAGAAGATAGAACTGGTCATGGATAATGAACACGCTATTGTGAATGTATATCAATGCCATCTACTGGATAAAATCAGAAATGATCATCTATGTGACAGGCTCTATATTGCTAACAGACATAACGCTTTAGCTCAAGTAGGAGAAGCCTGTCCTTTCTGACCATCAAAGTTCTATCCCTTAGGTCACTATGAAATTTCAAATGACTGCAGTTTGTATTGTACAACAGTGATGATCATGAGGCCAGCCATAGATTTTTTACATATTCATGACAGACACAGATACAAGCGGTCCAAAACAGTGGATTTAGAAGTTTAATTAAACAGTATTAAAGAAGCTGGCTGACTTCATAAATGTTCATGTGACTTTATGCCAAAGCTTATTTGACCCTTTATATATCTCCAGAGAAAAAGAAAAATTTGACAGTCATCAAATGCAGTTTGGAAAGGCAAACTCATCCTGGAAAAACACAAATTAATAATGGTAATCCCTATAAGTAGCTGTGAGAAAGTGTATTTTATATCCAGATATGAACTTTCTACCACTTCACATTACCACTGTGTTGTGAATAATTTCATAATATTATCTGTCACATTGTTTATGAAGTAACCAAATTATGAGCACTGGCTTCTCAGTTAAAATCATCATCAATGAGGTAGGTGTTTAGCAGAATTCAGATTCAGAGGATCTGGTAGGAGCCAGGATGTGAACGCTCCTCCTATGACCAATACTCTTCAACATTTACAAGAATGATCAACCAATCCATCTCAGCACAAAAAGTTTTAACTATGCCAACGACCAAGCCAAGGTTCTCACCCAGATCGAGGTTATGTTAACATCGGTGTTGTCTGGGCTCTCAGTCTATTACGTCAAGATCCAATTGTGCACCAATCCAGCCAAAACACAAGTGAGTCTCTTCCATCTTTAGAATCATGAAGCCAATAAATAACATGACATAATCTGGAACTGGATACCACTTGCCCACGGCTGAAATCCTTTCTACCTTGGAGTGAGGTTAGACCCCACTATCTCCTTCAAGGCACACCTGGAGAAGACAAAAGGCAAAGTTAGCACCCAGAACAACATTCTTAGGAACCTTGCAAATTCAAACTGGGGTCACCAACCCAGCAACACTAAGGGCAGCTGCACTGTCACTTTGAAATACACATTCTGGTATAGGAAAAATTGGCTCATGCAAAGAAAGTGGACCCTGTGATGCCACTACATCACAAAATCTCTAAAAATTAAAACATGAACAGCCTTTATGTGCTTTCTGGAATTGTTCCCCCAGATATCGGAGAGCAGTCACAAGCAAAATGGGACTATTGTGACATGTTGAAGATACCAAATATCCCCTACATTGCCACACAGCAGCAGTTAGTCACCTGAAATAGTGCACAAACTTCCTAGCTGCAATGGAACCTCTTCACAAAAATCACTGACCGCTAAATGACTAGAATTGTGACATACACAGCTCAAAATACTCAATGAGGACGTCAAAAATGCACATTGACATTGGATGACCTGGAGACGTTTCAATCACCTCCAATCAAGAGTTGGCAGGTCAAAAGTCCAACAACCCAGACACATGACTGCAGTAAAACACAAACCTAGAGGAACCATATACCAGGACTACAGACCGGGCCATATGATGTGCCCAACACTGGAAAAACCTGTGATTGTGGTGGAAGAACGCAAGAGGAAGCAGCTAAACCGTCTGAAATGAAATACTAATTTCCAGCTAGGAGAGCCACTAACTGCTGCACTAACGACTTACAGCCAAAGCCCAGCAACAAGCCAGCCTATGGATGTTACAACTATTGGACCCAAGTCTGCCAGTCTTACTCACTATGTCTTACTATCCAAACAGTGGATATCCCAACAGTCCCATTGAAAGTACTGAGCTCTCAAAGAAGAGCTTGATAACATACCTCTGAAATGCTATTTTAACTTTTACACAGCACATAGCTGAAAAGTTCATCACTGAGCAGTAATTTTTTTTTAAGAGATGCAAAGAAATTGCAAGGCTCCCAATGACTTTTACATGAATCTTGCATTTAAAAATCCATGCATTTCTTTGATAATGGAAAATTACATTTGCCACCGTACCTATGTAGGATTTTTGATGTGACAAGGACACATTGCCCAAAATCATAACGTATATGCACCATTTACTCACCAATTTCAATTGGATGACTACGTGCATATTTGATACTCATCGCAAATAGTACTTTACTGCTTGAATATTTCCACCGAAATCAATGGGAGTTCTCAATGAGTAAGATACTAAAACTGAATATTAGAATATGGGCTATAATAAGGTACTACTCAATATAAATAATGGTGATTGAATTGACCCATTATTTTGCGCAGGTACTGCGGCAAAAGTAGTCCAGTACCAAAGCAGTGCAGGGACACTTAAATGGAAGATTCTCATTAAAGTCATAGGGAGTTCTGTTACCAAAAGTTCCTTGCAATTCTAAAAAAGTGTATTGTGTCCTTCAGAAGCCAAACTTTTCAAATCTGTAGTGTATAAGAGATAGTTTAAGTAGCATTTCACATACACCTTGATAATCTCTCCATTTACTCAATCCTTTCTTTTTTGTAAGACAGGAATGTCAACTCGTGTTCCAGGAGATTTAAAAGTAAATCAAAATGTAAACAATGGAGTGATTCTATTTTTGCAAAGAAAAAGCCTGCGGATTAATTATTATAATTCACTTCAGTCACGTAAGACAGTCTAGTCAAGAAAAATCAAAATACATTAAATGATAGTGATCTATCTACAGTGCATTCTAGAAAGATAGCCTCCTTACATTTAATAGTTTAACTGGAACATTTCTGATTTTCTCTCTCAAATTTTTATCTACATTGCAAAATTGACTTATTAGAGATCAGTGTTTCGCTGTTTCCAATCCTGTCTTCCTTGTTGCAAATAGAATGCTTTCTTTAGGCAACTTTCCTCTTGCAACAAGACAAAGGATTCAGCGATCAAACAATATTGATTTTCATTCCAAAGTCAGTGCTACATCGCTTAATGTGTGCATCAAGGAATGCTAGTTAATTTGCAATCACACACAAGAGACTGCGTAGGACAAACCTATGATCTCTGTCAGAACTGCTGTTCAGAAATAAAAATCTCTAATAGAACTATACTGGATTAATAAGCCTCCTAGATAAACCACTGCTGGAAAATGGAAAAGCTGAGCCAACATCATAGAGAAGGTAACTGCAACAGCTTTCACTGTATATATTTATGTGTCTCTATCTAGTACAGTTTTTTACTTCCAGGCACTGCAATGCCACATGTTGACCTCTTTTTACCAATTCAATGTACTTTATGTAACACTGTCTGAAAGACCGTGATGATTGTTCCTGAGGCTCTAAAGTCTTTATTAATTATACCTAATGCCAAGAGGGATAGTGAAGCAAATGATCTGCTAAGACTGAATAATTTCACATATAATTCACATCTTCTTCAACTATATTTGGGGCATCACAGCGACTCCGTCATGTTACAGACTCTCACCTAGATTTTGCAGATTCATCTACATTTATTACTACTGTGCTCTGTGGAATTATCACTGCAAAACTGCAACAATTTAAATGTGTCAATTCTACAACAATGCAGCAGTGTGCAGCAAATTTTTTTTAAAGGCAAAAATACTGTGAAAGTTGAGCCAAACCCTTCCCCCAAATGAAGAACAGTGCTAAGGAGGTAAGCACTGTTAATGGGGGAAACAATACCTGAACATTGTTGTTTATTGCTGTTTGGTACTTTAAACTGAGGCATGATTTAGCTTCCCTCCCAAAGGGCCTGATTTTGCCACCCAAACTCTTATTGAGTAGTTCCTTACTCCAATATTAGAGCATTATTTTTATGAACATTAATTAGTGGCAGAGATAGGAACAGATATTATTCCTTCTTGGTAAGTAGCTTTTAAAAATTCTGACGGCGGATCAGATTCCCAAGATTCAAAATAGTGGCAGTGGAAGGAGGACTATTTTTTTATATATAAATATAAAAACCAGAAACACTAGAACTTCTATGAAAAATTTTAAGGTAGAAAAAGTGTTTCACAAGCCATTCCATGAAAAATGGGGAGCCCTCAAAGTGGTCTTGAGTACAACATCAAGAAACCAGTTATACAGTTGTGCCAATTATCACTCAGAGAAAACGATGGTGAACCAGCTCTGGCATTATCTGTAATCCTGAATTTACCTTAATGCTTTCCGGAATGATTCCGGCTTATGATATAGAGATTGATTTCTTGTTGGACAAAGGTCTCCCTTATGACTAAAGACCATGGGTGAAATCCTGTCTCCATTTAAATCCATGGCAAAATTCCCCCTGACTTCAATGGGGCCCCAAATCTCCATGCTGACTCTTTTTTGCTCTTTGTTGAGTCTGATATCAATGACCAGGAGGTTGTTTACACACCTGTTAGCTTTGGCACGGATAGAAGAAGTTGTGCTTAAGTTTATCTTCTCTTTCCTCCTGGAAAGAACCCAGAGCAGAGCATCATACTAGGCAAAGTACTATGGAACTTCTCACCTAGCCCAAGGACGCTCTCCTGTAGGAAACTGCAGTACTCTATCCATAAATTATCCTGTTCAATGTATATCTGAACCTACTAAGACAGCTAGTGAGATGATTAGGCTGCAGTGTTATCAATATACTTCAGATATGCATATGTATATCCATTACACTGACACTGTGTAATTTGGTTATTCCACTGACCAAGATTAGGGCTCAAGTGTAAACTAGTTAGCTAGTTTAAACTCATTTTAGATTAAATCGAGGTGATTTTGGTGTGCACAAGGAATCAAACAGAAGTAATAGCAGAGAGGTGTTCTTTACAACCTGGAAACACACTACACACACCTAAGGGTATGTATAACTTAAGGGTCCCTATTGGGGCCTCAACTGGGTCTAGACATCGACAGAGCAGCAGAAGCCTTTCCCCCTCTTCACTAGAGTCATAGGTTTTGTCTAAGGGATTGTAACTTCACTATAGTGATTGATGCCTTTATCACCTGTAGACCGATTACTGCAAGGTGCTTTACATGGGACCATGGAATGCCATTTTGAAACTTCAGCTAGTGCAGAATACAACTGCTCATTAAGTATATTTAATACAGTTCATATGTGCTCCAAAGATTGCACTGGTTTTTAGTTTACCTCAAGGTGTAGCTCAAGGTGTTCATTTTGAATTTTGGCTTGGATCATGGGTTTCTTGTGTACTTTGCTCCAAACAGTTGAGATCAGCTGATAGCCCCTATATTTGTAGGGCTACAGAGCAGTCTTGGTTAGGAGCCTAATGTCTAGAATCAGCCCACACACTCTCCAGCAGAGAAAAATAATGTTCAGGAAAGTTAATAGACTGCATTTTTAAACAGGGTTTTTCCCGGTTTTCCCTGTAAAAGGGTTGAGCTAAACATCTCAGGATTTATTTTTGCCCTTAATGGATTTAGGAATTGTTTTTACTGGCATTTGTATTGACATTTATACTAACGTGTTTTGTTTTGTTTTTAATTTTATATTTTTGTTCATGAAGCTAGTGAGCATAGGCAAACCATATAAATCAATAAAACTATTAGTGCTTGAAGACCATGGTGAAACTATTAAGATGTTCTGATATAAAGAGCAGAGGTCAGCATTTCTGACTAACACAAGCACAACTTTTCAGCCAAATTAATTCCTGAATGTAATTAAATCCATTGTATTTAAATGGTAATTAAATCTATTATAATTTATCAATTGTATCAAATCCATTGTATTTTTTTTAATTTGTGCTTTTAAAAAATAGTTTACTAATTTTACTTACACACACACGGCTTAAGTGATTTCACACTCTCTGTAGGTTCCACAACATTTCAGTAGTTCAGGTGCCTTGGACAATGGTGACTCAATTGAACTGATTTATTGCCAGTCTAAAGCTATGCTTAAAACACACACACACACACACAAACAAACACACAAACACACACACTTAATACAGTAGTAATACACACATAGCACAGTTGAAGAAAAGATAATGTCTGCTGGATATAACAACTGACCCTAACAACTATCTGTGTGATTATGTAAAAGAGAAATGGTGCATGGTCTAGCAGAGGTTTACACAAGGAGCAGTCTTTAGATACCATCCCAAGAAATAGGTAGGTCAAGAAAGGCATAAGAGTAGTGCCCACTCTATGAAACTCCCTTTGGTGTGTAAAAAAGCCACTATGTTCTGGAAGGAAGCCACTTCTAGGTAGAAATTTGAGTGATTTAGGTTTAGATTTTTGTCTTTTAAACCAAGATTTTTGCTATCTAGCACAAAGAGATTGATAAAATGCTTACCCTATGTTTATTGGTTTAAATTTTCACACTTGCAAGAAATTATGGGGTCAGACAATTTAATAACAATAGATTCTGAGATTCAAAAAATTAAAATACAAATTGTCAACATCACATGTCAAAACATACTAACTAAATACCATTAAATCAAACTAATAAGTTCTCAAACAGTATTTTTCTTGCTTTGCCTATCTGTAAATTTTGATCATAGATGGAAATATTATGCTGTCAGTTTGTGTGTATGTTGAAATCAACATCTACCAATAAAAATCTAATCCTTCCAACCCTATCCATACAGCAGCAACTTGCAAAGGAGAACTCAGAGGAAGATATCACTTCCACTAGACAAAGCATCAAATATATTAGAAAATACATTTGATCAGTTTTCTTCAGACTTCCAATAGTGTTTCATCAATTGTATAAACTACAGAAGACCATGTTCACATTAAAGTGAACATTCTGTGTTCACCCTACATTCTGTGAGATGATTTCTGCTAATCGACAGGGAATTATATATATGCTCACATTCACATCATCATCCACAATCAGCTAATCTAGAAATCTGATCATTGAGCATACAAACCAGTCAAAACCATGGGGATCAAAACAACTTTGGAGAATAATGTAATGCCATGGGCCTACATTATTACCAAATCTTTGGGGAGAGAAGACAGATGTTGTTGTCAATTAAGTAGCTCACTACCTGTGGTAAGTCTGTCTGAAGAATTGGTACACATTGTGAGATTGCTTTATAAATACTCACACATACACACATAAACCCCTCAAAGCTTTGTTTTTGAAGCATAATCTTTACACTGAATTGAACCTAGTAAGTCTTATATATATAGTTTCAGTCAGTGGTGGTTGTTTGCAGACAGTGATGCTGCTACTGTAGCTGCCTCCATTTGTCATCTTACATGAAACATTTTCCTCACTATCAATTCCTTATGCATTGAGTCAACATAGCTGGATCTGAGAAGGTGCTACTGAGGATATAGGAGCAGTCTTGAGTTACCCTGGATTTGTGTGTGTGTGTGTAACTGAAAGATGAATCTGCCCCAATATGACTTATGAAAGTTTAATGGAGAATAGCTTCTGTTTATTCTTCTCTTAATAGTAGTCTTCTGTTTCCCCATCCATCTTTTTAACCAAAGCAAACATTTTATTCCAAAAAACATCATATAAGAATTCCCAACTAAATACTTTCAAGTTCCAGGGAACCTGCATTCCTGCCAACAGCAAAAACATTTAGTAAATCTCTGAGCTTTAGTAAATCTAATGCCATACAGCAGATTAATCAGATGTTCAAAGCAAGTAGCTAAGAGGTTTCATAAACAAGCGATATAATAAAACACAGTGTTAAAAAAGAAAACACAATTTAAAAAACAACAACTTGCATTAAGGGCAGGAAACAATTCATGCCTAGAACTACTGCATTATTAGTCACAGAGCTGTGACCTCTCACTTCGAGTGATAAAGTACACAGGTCAGAATTGACAATACATACTCATGGCTGATCATAGCTGCCAGTTATTGATCTGAGGAGGAGGAGAAGGGGAAAAAGAAAGGGAAAAAAAACGTTGCAGGGAAAACATTGCTCTGAATTACAAGCATGCATTCTCCTGAGACTCAGCAACTCTCTGGGTTTCTCCCACTGGAACTGGAAAGCAAGAAGTGAGTTCAGCAAGTATTTAATATCAAGTGAATGTGGTGTTTAATCAATACTATTCTGCTTTTGTTCCACGATGTGGAAAGCAGTGTCTATTCATTCAGCAAAGGTTAATGCCAAGGGTCAAGTGATTTCACACTCTCTGTAGGATCCACAACATTTCAGTAGTTCAGATGCCTTGGACAATGATGACTCAGTTGGACTGATTTATTGCCACTCTAAGGCCCTGCTTAATACTAAAGTGCTATCTTATGATAATACCTCAGAAAATAGCACTGATAAAAGAGGAGGTGATAATTACCTACATTTTGAAGTAATGTCTTCATTTCTAACATCCTATAAAGATGTAGGGTCCATTTAAAATGATCTGCTTCTTGTATTAGCAAGTCAGTTAAATCAGATATTATCAGTGTTCTATGCTTTATGAAATGCTATGCAAAAGAAATCTGGTGACTGTACAGTATTAAAAAAAAGACAAATTGCAAGCAAACATAATACAGCCCATGATTTAACATACATTTTTAAAGAATAACTTATTTGATATCTCCTCGTCCAAATATAGTGATACTATTATAAGAAGAAAAAAGGAAAATGCTGTCAGGAAATGTAGAATAAAACAAAAAAAAATGAGTAAAAGATACTTTATGTACCAAGAAGCTTTTAATAGAAGGCAGCATAGATAACCATGTTTATAATTTGCTACTGATTTTTTTCTGCTTTAAACATTTCTAACTTAAGAGCAGATATGCAGGGGGGAGAAAGATATATTCTCCTTCAATAAGATGCATTGAAAATGACATTAGGTGAGGTCATTGTCTAAATCAGAATGTATTTGACTTTGTCAGGGGTCTAATTTTTAACATGTTATCATCCCTGATTATTATTCAGCAATGTCTTATTCAAGATGTGTTTTATATAATGAAAGAAGTTCAGATGTCACCAGGAAAACAGTGTGAGAAGAATTAATTGGAAAGGAAAGTCATTTAGAATCCAGCTCTACCTAATATATCACTGAATGATGAATATACCAATCAATTAGTGAAATAAAATAAATTCTGCAAATTTGACTGAAGACATCCTATTATTATAAGTGGGAGGATATTTGGAACAGTTAATTACTCCTTATTTTAGGCTATAAGTATGCAAAAATCCTTTATGAGATTTTTCAGTGTGCCTTTCTCTCCCAATTAGGAATATTTAGAAATCTCTTCTGAACTGTTCTAAATTAATATGAATTACATTTATATAACATTACAGCTGAGAACACAATTCAGCCATTTTAATGTGTGCAAAATGGAAACTGTTATCTTCCGTAAGTTATTATGTTTCCTTAAAAATATAGCAAACCATCCAAAAATGGATGTGATGATCAGTATAATTTTATTAGAATAGGTGGAACAGTTACTATAAAGTCTATGAACTGACCTGGAATCAATAATTTGTTGCAGTTCTGAAATATCCGGATGATAGTAATTTTTTCACTTCTGCTTTCCAGTTGCTATTGGACCTGGAGGTGTCAAAATCCCATGAGAAAAGTGGCTGTGGTGATAGTGTACTTCAGGTCAATAGTGTAAATACCACAAGTCTTGTAAGAAACAGATTTTCAGCTTAATTTTACAGACTCATGTAGGTTCAAATAGTTCAGACTTCTGGATATTATCTAAAAGTGAATTCAAACACCAAACCACTTGAGATTGACTCATTACTTCACTTCCACATCAAGTTTTTCAAATTACATTCTGAAGTTTAAAACTCCAAGCTTATCTTTCCACATAAGATTCCACGTAGGAAGGAAGCTGATGCTTGAGTGGTCTAGCATGTCTCAGAGATATCCAGCATCTGGTCCTTCTCTAAGAGGCCTGGAAAAGGAAATTTTAAAAGAGGATGATAAACTTCTGGAAATTTAAAAGTAAAAACTTTGGCAATAAGACAAGAAATTAGTTATTGCAATCAAACAAGTTAAAAAAAAACACAATCGCCCCACCCCCCAAAAAACAACCCACCCACCCACCCCAGAGGTTCATTTTAGGTGCTGTGATTTCAAAACATAGGATTTGTCAACCCAGATCAACCCGTGGCACCATCAAGAGCAGGATCTTGCCTCCCACAGTGGCCAGTGCCTTAGGGAATATGAGAAACCCACTTTCTGACCCTATTAGCAGCCAGTGTACACCTTGAAGAATGATCTTTATAAGCCCTATCTTATTTTGCCAGACTTTAATACTAGTGTTCATTACATTATCTGGCCTTGTCAATGTAAAATTCCACAAAAGTCATGCAGAAAAATGCAGAAAACAAAATCTATTCTAATTCCAGTTGACTTCACTGTGAATAGATACAGGCACAAAGTGTGCATCAAGCATAGTTTTATTGCAGACTCACACTTACTTACCTTGTATTCATATGAAATACTCAATGAGACAGGTGATTCAGAAAACTAGGGTTGAAAGATCAGACCAAAAAGGCTTCCAGCTGATCTTTGTATAAATAGTGGGTTATACAATGGTTCACTTTAAGTATTTAATTTCATTGATGTACTGACTTATATTGTTTTTTTCCCCTCTGTTTAATATCCCATTTGGAATTCTGACCCAATAATTACTTAGGAAATTCAATTTTTTCAAAAAATAGAGTGATAAAGACAAAGAACATCCATATTAGGGACAATATGATCATAATATATACTAGCCCCGCTATCAATTAAATTGAGGCCAAGTTTTTCAAAAAATAAGTGCCCAAAATTAGGCTTCTAAATCCATATTTAGGCACCTAAGTAAAATGCTGAATATTCAAGAGTGCTGAGGACCCAAGAACTCCGTTTAGCTCCAGTGAGAGCAGCGACCTGACTGGTTAATAAAAATTGTGTCTTGGTAGCCATGTAATTATGTAAAATACCTGCCCTACGACAGAGTGAGAGATTAGTGAAATTTATACAGACAGATTTAGTGGTGTTTTCTTGTTGAAAGATATAAATTGAATTTGGATCCCTCTTTTCCCCATATGGAAGTTATTTGTTATCAGAGTAAGCATGTGCTATTGGCTCAGCTATGAACAACTGTGTTATTTACTTCTGATTTATACTGGTCTCTATTGTTTTGTTCTCTTTATTATGTTTGTTTTTCTCTTGCTAGGTGGGTTGGAGGAGATTGTAGTTGAGTTTAACTTTGTAACACTAATAAGGTATAAATTAAATCTACAAATATGATATAGAAAATATTTTTAAAATCTTAGACTTGGAAGAAACAAAATGTAATAATTTGACAATCAGGAAAAAAGCCCAAGAATTCACTGAATGTTATTAGACCAACTATAGAGCTGGTCAAGTGAAAAAAAAATCTTGATTACTACCAACATTTATCAGTTAAATTATTCACAAAAATAATTAATCCAGCTCTACTAAATATGTTCCTAAATAGTGATTTGGGTACTAATGTGAATTTCTGTGGAGCTTCATTGATATCAATGGGACCCTACCTGTGCTCAGGGATATTCTGTAGGGATACTTGATACAGGATTAGAGCCACAGCTTGTAGAAAATGGAAATCAAAGGGTATGTCCAGACTACCCGCCGTATCGGCGGGTAGCGATCGATTTATTGGGGGATCGATATATCGGATCTAGTTAAGACACTATATCAATCCCCGAACGCGCTCCCCGTCGACTCCGGAACTCCACCGGAGCGAGCGGCAGTAACGGAGTCGATGGAGGAGCCACGGCCGTTGATCCCGTGCTGTGAGGACCCAAGGTAAATCAATCTAAGATACTTCAACTTCAGCTACACTATTCACGTAG